CAACTACAGTTTTGGTACCCATATCAATACAAGAAGTTACATCATACCAAGAAAACATACATCATGCTTTTGTAAATAAATTTTGTGATTTGATTACAAACATAACATCACAAAGTTTGCTTTTGGCTGCGGCCATAACTCCTAGAAATGCGAACGAAAACGTGTTGACGTATCCTTTCACCGATACGCCAAACGACGTTACTGTCACTTGCCGCCGTTTGTGAAAGATGTCCGTCTGACTTAACAATGCCATCTATAAGATTAATTTCGGAACACTTTACTTATTAAATTATACGTAGGGGCGGAACAATGTTTCCCTCCTGCGTTAGAGCTTATGGAGTATTTATTTCGCTGACAGGTTATGATATATGAAAAATCTCGGTTAGTACAGTTGGCTTTTAGAAATATTGCGATTCTCGCCATGCGTATTAAGTATGAGACTCTGATTAAGTATAATACTGTAACTTTTAAAAGAGATTATACCAGTGATAGAAAAAAAAAGACATTTAAAATCAGTGAACTTCGAAACAAAAATCTAAGCCATAAAAATATTTTTTTATGTTTTTATAACTGTACAAAAGCTACCCCCAAAAAACACATTAAAATCATTACGTCTTGTTCAACGTGTATCGTATAAAATTCCAACAATATTCGAGTGAGTTTAATTCACCGCGAAGCAAGAGTGTCGCCGCAACATTGTTAGCAATAAAATATTTTACGACTTTAAACAATAAAAAAGAGAGCATCCCATCCCATAGTTCCGTTCATCGCCATCAATTAAATGCAACTAGGATGGGGGAGGGTTGCTGTTAAAGCTCTCCCATGGCACCCCTACGCCGAAACTAATCGTGATATAACAGCGCCAAGTCTCGGCACACTGCGATGTCTATTGCCGCGCGTCAAATCTCCGTTGCAGGACGATGACGGTATGGATTTAGAGAATGCCACTCGACAACAAAAGAAATCTAAGCGGTAAACTTGTAATGAATGATTCTATACAGGATGGTTCTTTATAAATTATTTATGTTAATAAAGAATTACAAAATGAAGTTTAGTTTAGATTATATCTTTTTCTTACAGTGCCATACTCTATATAGAGCGTTGGCTACCTCTCGCATGTACCTGTGATGTGTGTCATCAGTGTTTCACAAGTACACGGGACCTACAGTTTGTCGCCGAATCCGAACGGCACTATTTGAGAGGCTGTACAGGGTGGGTCAAATTCGACGCTTTTAAATGGAAACACCCTTTCCTATAGGAGATAGACAAAAACTAATATCGGTGTGTGGAGCTCAATATTTGTCAAAAATATGATGGTGAAAACCGCATATCGATATCTGTTACCGTTTCGAAGTTACGGGGTGTTTTTCAAAAATATGCATTTTTAACAAATCGCTGTAACTTTTTTGCTATGGAAAATTTTGTATTTTTATGAAAACATTTCCAAAGCACCTTTTTACGTAGAATTTAATGGTAATAATTTAAGAATTACCAACAGAAAATTTGATTTTTTATACGGGACACCCTGTATATTTTTAATTTATTAAAAATAATTTAAAATTATCTTTCCAAAAATATAACACACTTGATATTTTGCTGGATTCCTCTTCGAGATATAGGGTATATAAAAATTCGCCCGCTTTAAATAAGTATAGGAACGGTACGGTTCCTATACTTTAAATAAGTATAGGAACTTTGAACGGCACCAGCTGTAATGCTAAAAAATTCTAGCTGTGAGCATCAATTAAAACGAAAATAATATTTGCTATGAGCGATGCAGAATTTTATTACAATTTAAAATATATTTAACCAACATCAACACATTTAAACTATATTTAATAACAATAATAATAAATAGCAAACCAAGACATGAGATTTTGCTACAGGTGTTCGACATATCAACCGTCTTCTGTTATGGACAGACGGGGCAGTTTTTGAACATTTCTCACGGAATTGATTAACTCAGTGGGGGTGAAAGATACCCTCTTATAACTGCTAAGTATTTCTAATTCTTGTCTAGATTATACGGAAGAATAAGGAACCTTTATTCTTCCGCAAATATATCCATAGGATTATATGCATGAGCACTAAGTCAGGTGGCCTCGATGGCCAACAGCTGGGATCTTGGTTAGCTATTCAATTATTCTTGAAATTGGCTACAAAAATTTGCTGATAACTTCAGCGTTCAGAGGCGGTGCGTCGTCTTGCTGGAAAAATATGTTTTCGAGTTCCATTAAGGGCATATCATCAATAAGGGGTCCAAAGCCTACTAGTTAAAAGTGGCGAACTTTTAAAAATTCTGTATTTTGAAGGGGATTATAACAAAATATCAAGTGTACTATATTTTTGGAAAGGCAATTTTAAATTCTTTTTAGTTAAATAAAAATATAGATGGTGTCCCAACTAATAAATCAATTTTTCTGTTGATAACTCTTAAATTATTAATTTTAAAAAAATTATACTTAAACCATTAAATTCTACGTAAAAAGGTGCTTTGGAAATATTTTCATAGAACTACAAAATTTTCCATAGTAAAAAAGTTACAGCGATTTGTTAAAAATGCACATTTTTGAAAAACACCCCGCAACTCCGAAACGGTAACAGATATTGATGTGCGGTTTTCACCATAATGTTTTTGATGAAAATTGAGCTCCAGACACCGATATTAGTTTTCGTCTATCTCCTATAGAAAAGGTTGTTTCCATTTAAAAGCGTCGAATTTGACCCACCCTGTACAAGGCAAATATACTCAAGGTGGTTTGCCATTGCCTTCCTTGAGGTTCCGGCTCGTTGGTCGCTCTATTTAGATAAATAAATATTTTTATTTAAATAAATAAAGCGACCGTACTGGCTGGGGATCGAACCCAGTACCTTCCGCTCCGCAGATCGACACAGTACCGCTGGACCTACGGCCGGCCACTTAGATTATATACAACTCTTAAATTCTAAAAATACTAAAAGTTAAATTTAATTTATCTTATAGAACATTTTGGTCAGTGATACATCTGACAAAAGACAATGAAAATCTAAAATTCTTATAATATTACTACTGAATAATTATTATCTACTTAAACCAAAGGAACCTTTAATTTACAGCTTCTTTTATGTATATGTTACAGTAAAAGTTGGAAATCAGTGGTTGTTAACAATTATACTAGTAAAAGCTCACATTCACTGATTTGCTAAGACTACGCCAGTAAAAGTTCAACAACTATTTTTGAAACCAACTTTTACTAGTGAATGCTAACATTCCCTGGACGATACCAGTGAGTTTGAAAGATTCAGTTAGCACGATTGAAATATAAGGATAAATAACAATAAGTTGAATAATTAGGCAAATTAAGGCAATATAAGATTACATTAAATTGGGTTAAACGTTGGCAACGTTGACAGACATCTGGCGTAAATTCGTCGCAAAATATCGCACCAAGGATATATAGAAGAAGGATATTCAACTCCCTATAGCGGGCTATGTTGGAAAATATGCCGTATTTTGTCGAGGAAGACGATTTCGTCACGACCAATGAGCGTCGAGTATTTGAAATTGAAAACATATAAATTGACGGTAACCTATGTTTTTTGACTCATTTCACTGACAGATGTGATGAGATTATTATTGTAATTTATTGTTTCAAACGTTTTTTGAAAAAATAATGTATTTTAAAGTTATTTCCTAGAGTTTGGTTTAGCCTTCTATATTCTGGTATTTGTCTACTAATAAATAATATCTTATTTTGTATTTCGATGTATGGAAATCCGCAAGTTTTGTATCTGAAGCCGCAAAGAAATTTCGCTCTATAGTGAGAAAAATGTTATTATATCTTTTTAGACGTGTAGAATTACAAAATTTCTTATTTCAGATGTTCTAAATGTGAGTGCATGTCAAAAATTTAAATATATACTTGAAATATTTCATGTTATATGCTTTGACATTTTTTGGAAGTAAACAAATATTGAAGAAAGTGTTGTGCCTTCACAGAATTTAAATTGGCATTAGGAATAGATTTCCTTGATTTAGTAATGATATTGCTCATAGAAATTGATAATGTGAAGAATAACAATACAGGAACATAGAATAACAAGAAAGAAATTCTAGCAGCAAGTTAGGTTATGAGATAAATTTTATTTATATAGTTTGTTTAAAGAGTTTAGTTTGAAAAAAAGGTAAAACAATTATTATTGTCCAGGTCATATTTGATAACTGTTGTTAATTGATAACATATTACAGGGACACAGTAAAAAGACAAAACATTTAGACCCTTTGAAAGAGAAATGTTTGCAATGGATATTAATAAATTCTAGCCAATTTGTACGATGTACAATGCAGGCAATATTTCTGCCTCCCCCGCTATTCGCGTAAAAGAAGATGTGGGTATTATATTTATAGATAGTCAATGATACATGGAATATATTTCTATATTATTGCAATAACGATGTGTTTATGTTGTATTTTTTTAGAACAGATTTATTATTAGTTGGCTAGTGTGTTAGTAGGATAGCCATTGGTAGTTATAAAGTATGAAGTCGTCAGGCATTAATAATAGGAATTGATCAAAACTTATACATTTATTGTGATATTTATATTGTGAATTTAAATAGTTAGTTTTGGTTGTTTAATAAACGAATTAATGTGCTTATTGTGTATCTAATTAAAAGAACAATGAAAAGTTGAATACCATAGGGGTACGTATGTTATACAAAGAATTTGCATCAACATTTTTTTGGTTATATACTTGTACTGATATTTGTTTCTTGAACTAAAGAATTATACAGTACCTACTACACAATATAATAATCTGCAGCTACATAGGTAGGTAGCTGTTGGTAATTAAATTTTTTATCTAATATAATATCTAACATCAGAAATATTGTTAATTATCAACTATAAACAACTAAGAACTAGAATTATCAACTATAAACACAATATAATATACTGTATCTTAAGCAATATGTAATTATTTAACAATTATTTTTTTTGGGAAATAAAAACTGGTACTAAATTCTTTTTGACTATTTAATTTCTAAGTCACAAATAATGGTGGACAAATAGCAAGAAAATTATACAAGTAAAACATAATTTTAACTTATTTCTCTAATGGAATTTTGGTATTGATCTACTTAGTAGGATATGCAGTTTATCATATTTTTGAATATTTATATTCAATATTGTTCAGGAACAGCCCAATTACTCTGAAAAAAAAATATATGGTCAAATTCTTTGAAAAGAAACTTTTAAAATCAGTAATGATAAAAAAATATATAATTGTTGTATAGCAGAACCAGGGGACACAGAATTAGGGGAATTAACAATAGATTATTAAAAACTGCCTTCTCTTAAAAAAGTAGTATTATATGCACTTAGAAAGACTATAAAGGATATAAGTACGCATAGAAAGAAAGTAAGTATCTATACTACTGATATATATAACTATATATGAATACGATACCTACAGTATACAATATTACTAGTATAAAAATAACAGCACAGTCGGCACACTTTAAAATAAAAAAGCAGCATAATATTCAGGTATGTATATAAGTAAAATTTTCTCAAAAATATTAGAATATGAAATAAATTGCAACTAAATTTGAATTAATAAACATAAACAAATAAAATTGTCAGTGTTATTAAAACTTTATGCAAATATATGTTACCTTAATACTTTGTCTTTAATCCTACTCTTCTGACATGGCTTTTCAAACTTATCCCCAAATCTCAATTCTTGTTATTAAGAATAATATTTATGAACTTTTGTTTCCATATTAATTTCAATATAATTGAATAAAACTAGAAAAATAATCAATATTGGCACTTGAAATTTTAATTTCTTATGTCCTTAATTATTTATATCGTGTTATACATAATACTTACATAAATATTCAATTTAAAAATAGATCAGCACTTGAACGAGTGAATATAAAATATTATATTATCAATTTCTATGAGCAGTATCATTACTAAATCAAGGAAATCTATTCCTAATGCCAGTTTAAATTCTGTGAAGGCACAACACTTTCTTCAATATTTGTTTACCTCCAAACGGCAAAGGGTATAACTTGAAATATTTCAACCAATATTTCAAGTATATATTTTAATTTTTGACATTAAGCACTCACATTTAGAACATCTGAAATAAGAAATTTTGTTATACTACGCGTCTAAAAAGATATAACATTTTTCTCACTATAGAGCGAAATTTCTTTGTGGGTTCAGATACAAAACTTGCGGATTTCCATACATCGAAATACAAAATAAGATATTATTTATTAGTAGACAAATACCAGAATATAGAAGGCCAAACCAAACTCTAGGAAATAACTTTAAAATACATTATTTTTTCAAAAAACGTTTGGATCTATAAATTACAATAATAATCTCATCACATCTGTCAGTGAAATGAGTCAAAAAACATAGGTTACCGTCAATTTATATGTTTTCAATTTCAAATACTCGACGCCCATTGGTCGTGACGAAATCGACTTCCTCGACAAAATACGGCACGTTTTTTTTGGGCCAGTCGAATATCCTTATTCTATATATCCTTGCATCGCCCCAACTAATATAATTGTTTTCTTGAGCCTTCCCAATACCAACAATTTTTCTATATGTATAGTAGTCACAGGGGAGCAACAATCATAATGGAAAACAACAAAAAGAGCATATTTGACGAATGTGAATGTTTGGAAGCATTACTACAGCAGCTCTTATGAAGTATTTGGAAAATATAAGTTTCTTGGCATTTTGAAAAAAAAATTATCCAGGTCTAATATTCTGTCAGAATATTAGTACACATCGTCCAGGCGACAAATATTTTTAAATTGTTGGGTTTTAAATATTTTGAGTTCTATAATATTACCTACAAAGTTTCCATCAGACTCTGTAGTATGTTTTATTTTTGTAAAATTAAGATTACATTTTACTCAAAAAGAATGAGGTAAACCATTATTGTCAGAAAATAAACAAATTGCTATTTTAGATTCTATACTAGTTTAGATAGACCCTGTACAAATAGTTTCCTTATCACATTAATTACTGACAAATATTTCGCGTCTTAAAAAATTTCAATTACTTATTGTTGCACATAGTCATGCTGATGTTAAAAGGATCACATTACTCAAAAAAGCTTGTTTAAATGTACTTGTTATTCATAGGGAACATATATAAATAAAATCCAATAGTAATATTTGATACGTTTGTTGTTTGTCATACAGAAACTAAAGGTGATATTTATCGATAAGTCTAAGATTTCTTCAACATTTGCTTATTTTAACACCGGTGGCCATGACTAGTTAATAATAAATTTGTATATTTCAGCGAATAATATTTTGGCAGTAAGAAATGCCAATTCACTAATACTTTTGAAATGAATAATACTCTACAAATGTAGCTTTGTTTTTAATGCCAGCTAGAATTCAAAGAACAAAAATAAATAAATACATTTTTCTTTTTGAATTATAATTTCAAATAATTATACTTCCAAAAGTTTTAATGTACCGTTAATGTACGTTACCTTGTAAAGGAAAATTAAATCATAGCCACACATAAAAAGCATACACAGTTTGAAAAAGTAGAAGAACCACTTCTGCCAATACACTTTTATGTTGGCATTTTGTGGCTAAAAGGGGTGCAAGCTAGATATATAGGAGGGCTCCCTATTATCCCCCACGACGCGCACTCACATATTTCACGTTTATGTGCCGTATTTATGCTTTCTCACTGATTCACCGCTGTCACATTGAGAGGTCTATTTTTTATTTGGTGTAAATGGGGTGTTTATACAAACAGTTTTGGTCCATATACAATTTTCCGTCAAAACGGATACTCCAGTTTTTGGTTGATGGCTTTTGGTATTTTTACTTTTTTCTAAATCAAAGTTAAGTATCGAACCAAGACATTTAGAACCTTAAAATACACAATTAATAGACTAGAATATAGATATTATTTTTTAGCATTACAATTATTTGGTAATACTAAAATATTAGAAAAAAAAAAATCTTTAAAAGATATAAAAGTCATTACAAAGCTATTTGATTTTCCTAAGAAAATGGGCATAGGTTGGAAAATACCCAAACAACGCCATCTATTGACCACTAAAAAAGTCATTACCGTACAGTTTAAAGCTTGACAAGTAGACAAAAAACACAATTTTTGGCACTCTTGAATAAATTGGTTCAATCCACTCAATTAGGCAATGGGCTCTTTCACTATATTTTGGAATAAGCATAGTTGAATAAAGCAGTTAATTCTACAATTTTCTGCTATCTCACTTTCGAAAAATGTGAAGTCGTTCTTAAGAAAATAAATAAAAACAAAAAAGCCCAGAATAAAAATCCGCACTTTATTTTTAATACGTCACACCTGGCATGTTGAAAGGCGGCAACACGGCCGCGACCGGGCCTCCATGCTGACCCACCACCACCTCCACACAAGGCCATTGAACCTTTTCCAATATGGCGGAGATAGAAGTGCTTTATTTGGCGCGTATTTTAAAACCTGTTTTATTTCCAAATAGACATTTTTCACACAAATGCCGGGTTAGATTACGTAATATTTCACTAATTTTTTAATATACAGGGAGTCTAAAGTTTTCCACATAAGTATGGATTTTTTTGTATTATTACTCTTATGAAAACATCAGTTACTTTTTGTAAAAAGGTCTCCTTTCTCAGAAAATAGGTAGTGTTAAAATATTCAAACTTGAGGTAGCATATATAGGGTGTTCAAAATCATCGGAAAAAGAAATAACCAGAAATATGACAGAAAATAGCAATAAAAACTAAATATTCAATTGCAAACACTTATCTACCATAGTTTAGAATTTACTGAACGTTTGATAAATATATACTATTATGGACAGTATAGGAAGTTACTTGTCTTGGTAAATGCTCTTGGAATTATAAACTACACTGGTTTGGGTCAAAAAATATGGAATATTTTTTCTGTTTTGCAGCATTACACAAATAGGAATAAATTTAAACTATAATATATAGGTGAGGATAAATAAAAAAATATAATATGTGTTTCAAGATTTTATATAGCAGAAACCTTGGGAGCCCCTCTATAATTCCCGTGACAATTTGGAACAGAGCATGTAAAAGGCATGCTACAATAAAATGTTAACACTTACCCTTTAATATCTATCTTTTGATTATTGTAAGCAACCATTATAAAGTACTATGCAGACTGGCGGCGAAGGCTTTTTACTCATTTAGGTGTAATATCTTGATAAATACTTCTAGTTCTTACCTTAAAATAATTAATAATAGAGGAGTACGACAAGCACAAAAGCTTTAAGTTCCTTATGTAGAATTTCTGGTTTGGATTTTTATTACACTGTTGTCACAATTTTCTGATCACACCATGCACTGAACACTAAGAACTAAAGAAACGTGTTGCAGAAGCACAACAAACTAGAGATAATTAATTATTTCTGGTATGCAATCGGAACGAGAAACCACTACCGGCTTTACAGGTTAAAGGTAAACAATTTAATAATACGCTACCTTCACCGCCATATTTGCCTTGCCCATATCATGTTGACTGGCCTTGAGTTGAGGTGGTGCTGGTCAAATCAAATCGCAATGTTGCCAGTTGTTGGCTGGCGCACGAGCACGGTTCTGCAATGTGATTGGGCGTATTTTTCATACGTCATCAATTGGCAACTTGAATAAATTGGTTCAATCCACTCAATTAGGCAATTATGAAAAAGTTCGGAGTATCCAACAAATTTCTTACAGTGCGTAAAAGCCTCCATAGCAACAACAAGTCAAGAGTGTCACTATCATGGATCACTGAGCGATCCCTTTCTAACAAATACAGGAGTTATGCAGGGATGTGTCTTAGAGCCTCTCATATTCAACATATTCATGGCAGTGCTCTCCATTATAGTGGACAGCAAACTGCAGGAAAGAGGATTGGGGATTAGATACAGATACGACGGCGATCTGTTCAACATAACAAGACTCAGGGCAAAAACACGTACAAAATTCATCACAGAACTTCAATACGCTGATGACTGCGCTCTGGTTGCAAAAACGTTACAGCAACTATAAGAGATGTTGAACACATAAGCTGAACATCGACAAAACTAAAATCATGTGCACTCCCACGAAAGAACGCTGAAAGAACAATTAAAAGAACTAATGGAATATGTAGCAGATGAGATTTTTGAATGTCCGGAGTGCGGAAGAGAGACATGACGTATCGGGCTTTTCAGTCACAGAAAAGCTCATGAAAGAAAACGCCTTGTGTAACCATTTTCTGATGCGTGTCACATACTTGTCAGCTAGTAATGGCAGTATGTATGTATGTCTGGTTCAATCCACTCACAAATACCTACATTTGGAAGTAAGAATGTTGACAACTATCACTTTGTTTGAAAATAGACAAAAATGAACTGGAACATAGAAGTCCAGATCAAATCTTGATTTGGTACACGAGAAAGGTATACGTTTAAACGATTATCTGCTATATATCAAAAACTGTATCAATAAAAACGTGTGAAGGATACAAACCCAGACAAAAAAATGTATCTGACGACCCCCGGCGATGGAATAATCGATGTCGCTGTACGAAGGAACGTCTGATTGATGACGGGGCTATCTGGCCCATGTCCGGCACATGACGGCGGCATATTGAGACTTCCTTCCTGGACGGCCGATAGCCGTAATGCGACTTAATGGCTTAGGCCACGAGGCCGCTTTCAATTCGCCCCGATAATTCTATCGAATGTAGGTAATAAAAGGAAAAAAGTCATTAACCGAATTCATGAACTTCAATTGAAA